AAAGAGCAGCCGACTGTACCAAAGCCCTTACCAGAAGCTCAAAGAAACCTCCAACAGACATAGCACTTCAAATACAGACTCACACACTCCCTAGTAGCGGGAAATGGAAGAGGATATGCTGGGGGTGAGGGAGGCTTGAGCAGCTCCCATATTGCCAAATAGCTATTTATCTACTATACTTGTCTATATTTAATAGTTGTCTAAAAAATAAGAGCCATGTATTTGTTAAGGATAGCAATGCATGGCATCACCAAACTAAAGCTTTTCTACTTGACACTTTCTTAAAAAAGAGGCTTGTTCAGAAAATTCTAATGCAGAAAATGGACTGTAACACCTTCTGTTACAATTAAGCAACAAGAAAGTCTACAATGACAGGCTGCTTAAAGAATCAAGCAAATAACTGAAAAACAGCCACATCTTAAGTTGTGCATGTAAAAAGAATTATGATTTCACATGGGCTATAACAAGATAGAGAGTTCTTTCAAAACTCCAAATATATTTATTTTTATTTACAATATAAACATTAGGTGTTGGTCATATTCAGCAAGAAAGAGCAACACAACATAAAATGGTTCATATCTGTGTAAATTCTAGCCCATGGCTAACTGTAATCAAGAAACAAAATTACAGTCATTTTCCTTGGTAATGCAAGTTTCCTTCGGATTTCTACAAAAAGAGGTGAGCAAGACCCAGTGACAGGATAAAGGTCTGTTTTATTGAAACAATTATGTGTTATATTGCTAGGCTCTAGCAATAGAGCCTAGAAGAATGTTGCACCTAATTTTGTATTAACAAACATTACAGACAGAAAGTTCTAGGTCACATCCTCAACCCCCAATAATCCAGTGTTTGAAGCGTAATCTCAAACAAACTCTCTGTTGGTCCTATTTCAGATTTAGCTCTTAAAAATGTCCCAAGGCTAAGGGGCTAGTAGAGATAAATTAATGTTCAACTGCTGTTCCAAGGCTTTTTTCCAATTAAGCTTCCTATAAAAACAAGCTAATTGATGAACCAAACTCCGGTGGAGAGCAGCACAGATGACTTTTTACAGGTATGAAACACAGCTTTAAGATCTCATCTTTATAAAATGCACTTGAATAGTGCAGACTTTGCAGGAAGATTAAGAATAATATGAATATATAAAATATTACAGAAACCTATTTAACCACACCCAGTTGTCACCTGCAAAGTACTAGTAGAATAATTATTTGCAGTTAGATTGATGCTAATGGGATTGAGGCACAGCAAGCAGAATTCCACAAATTTAACATAGGAAAATAAGCCAGCAACATCAGACATGTTAAACAACCCAGAGCATGCGTACATTTAACAATAAAGGTAATGAGATCTCAGGAAATTTGTGGCAAAATAAAACCTGATATGCATGGCACTACAGCCTGCTAAGGGCTAGAGCACTATTTACTAGCACACATGATGAAGGAGAAGCAAAATTCATTTTATTCTGCTGTTATCACCGAGGAAGGTTGTTATTCACAAAGGAAAAAACATTAAGTGAAAGCTCCAATCCTTTGCCATCAATACCTGTCTCTATCAGCTACCTGGAATATTCTCACTTCCTAGCACAGATAAGCACATCAATACACAGCAAAAATAACCTCCAGAAGAGAAATTCTCTCTAAAACCCACCAGCTGAGCTACATGTATGATATGAGGGGACAAAAGTCGCCATTTATTTGTACGGCTGCAAATTAAACTACCAATGGCTTTAGGACTAAAGGAAAGAGGACAATGGAGCAGTGGAATTGAAGCTAACCTTCAGAAACCAAACGAACACTTAATTTTTAGCCCTTCTCAATAGAAAACTCATAAAACAGCAGACAAAGATAAACTAACTCACAGTTCTTATCAATATCTGCACAAAGAAATAAAGCCCGTATAGTTTTGCACAAAAGCTTCTGCTCACCAGGCTGCATAATTCAGTTCCATCGCAAAGAACCAAGAGCCAATTTTGTTTTCCAAGGACAAGCCCTGTATTGCTTCCCTTCTGCCTGAGAACACAAACAATGCCCAATTGTCAGGTTTGCGAACATCAACGGGCATCAAACTCGAGCTGAAAGACTATAAAAGAAGTGCCTGATAAACTGGAAAAACATTTCTGCTAACAGATTTGTGTCTGTTCTGAAAACAGGGATCAAGGCAAGGGCCAAGTAACTAACTGAATGCACAATTTAACTTTCAGGGTCACATATTTTTGCCATCGTCTTGACACTGCACAGATCCAGTTGAAGACAGCTGACTAATAACATGGAGCAAGAGGTATTTGCTACATATATGTCACTGCATTCACCTATGCTCAAACTTCCTTTACCAAGGGCTGTACTCAGGGTCAACTCACTCACTCTGTAATTCGCTTATTGTCACAGTTAGAGATGAGCCTAACATTTATTTCTCTGCGCGCTCTCTGGTCTTCTGGTGCCTTCTAGAAGATTTAATGAACACTTTAACACTCCATTTTAAAGAATTTCTGACTCTGTGCAACGATTTTTTTCATAATAAAGCACCCACAGTGCAGAATGATAAGATCATTTTAGTGACTCAAATCTGGTTTTAATTATGAAGAAGTCCATTTTTAAGATAAAGTTACCTTGCTGCAGGGCCTTCTAAATAACTGGGGTGTCAGTATATTTCAAATGATAAAGAATATCCTCACAAAAGACGTGCATCTACCAGAAGAAAAAGAACAAATGTTAAAAAAAAAAGATGTTAAACATCAGTTACTCATATAATTAGGAAAAAAAATGCACTGATAGGATTGAAGTGTCTGTGACAGTTTTTCAGTCCTTTTTTTCCAAGATTTTCTGGGTGTTTTTTTTTCTGTTTTTCCAACCCTTTACTCGTATTAGTCTCTTTCTCTTGCACAACTCTCAGCAAGCTCTGAGAGCCACATGCAAATCTGTGTAGTTTTGTTTATTTGTGGATTTCTTTTGTAATGACAATTTTTTTTATTAAAAAAAAGCAGTGCAAAGAAATGGAATGTTGATTCTAAACTGTATGTTGTCCAATGAGAAAAGCAATAAATCCCAAATTTAATCCCTGGGATAACTAGAAATAAATAGGCACAGAGAGAAAGCCTTCATGGAAATATAGAACTACATTGTCCTAGCTGATTTTTGCATCATTGTAAAATACAGCACAACTTCCAGACAGGTGCTTATGCAGTCCTTCTGCACCTGTGCAACTGTGTCCTCAAAAAAATGCAGAAAAAAAATTATTAATTCTCTTTATTATACATAATACCAGGAAGGCAAGTTAGAAAACTACCTTTTTGCATGCTCATTTTTATTGAGCTGAAAACATAACAGGTATGTTTTTGAAAGATAAAAGGAAGGTGTACTTGGTGCTTTCAAATTGATCACTGATGCTCATGTTCCATAAAAATCTCCAGGCTTACTAAAATACAGCTGCAGCACATTTTCACCTCACAGACCTTCCTGAATTCCCTTCAGCAGTTGCACTATTTACATTTAGCTTTTGTTTGGCTAGGGTAAAAAAAGAAAGTGAAGCATCCTGAGTGTGGGTCTCTAACTCCACAATAGTGACTCTTCATTAAGGCTGGTATTTGCTGCAGCTTACAGCATTCACTGAGCATTTTATCCATTCTGCATTTTCTCGTCTTTCACAGAACAAAGAAATATGTTTTAAAGCAGGTTTTAAGGTAACAGCTTAAAAAAAAAAAAAAAAAGAGCAGAGCTCTCTCATTACAAACCAAACAAGGCCTAAGGCCTCCAGATCATTTTAATACAGTGATATGCCACAGAGCAACTCCCTACAGCTGAGAGGGACATGTACCAAAATATCAATAAAAAAAAAAAAGGTATACTTTCCTCAAATGAAACACCATTTTGTATTTCCTTGCCAAGAGCTAAGAGGCAGGGTATAGAGTGACCACAAACACTGCTTCTTTCTCCAAAGAACTGCATTTTGATCAGGCTTCAAATAGCACTACATCACCACCAAAGACACTAGCCATAGGAAAGCAGCATTTAATCCGCAAGTGAGAATGCACAAGACTCCACATCACTTGTTTGTTTAAATACGGTAGTTCTAGAGGAACAAACTCTTGATGGGTGAATACATCCTTTTGTTTTAGTAGTCTCAAATAATCCACTAAACTGGTGGTCTTCAATGACTCCTTGACCTGACTTAACTCCAGTTCTGTGAACAAGAGCTAAGAAAGGGCAGAAACATCACAATTTAAATAAATGCTTACTGTCATATCTATAATAAATCATAGCATCCCCTATAAGCACTAAAGCTGTCTTGGCTTATGGAGTACAACTTACAGCTCAGCCTTACAGCCAACAAAAATAACTCATCAGAGAAATGAAAGATTGCCTCTTCTAGCAACTCTAAGAAATACCTTGTCAGGTAGGACAACATCTGAATTCTTTGTGCTACAAGAAGGCACAAGAAATAAATCATCATCTAAGATAACAGCATACACCTATTCCTTCACTGCAATACACATGGATGCAGTATGGTTTCCTGAAATGTATAGTAATCAATATATCCACAGGCTTCCTGCAGCTTCTGTAGATGCCTAACCTTAGGCTTGGACAGCATCCCATTCTTATCTTTGGGTACACTGCAATAACTACCAGGCAGCACTTGCTTTTCTCTTCAAGCTAATAATTGATTATGATCATAAAAACAGAGACAACAAATCCCACAACAAATCCTGCCATCTCTGATAAAGAACTTGCGCTGGCTCCTTCACTTGCATACTCCTTAGGACAAGTGACAGAGTACTGCTGAACTCATAAGCAAACAATTTGCAATGTGAACATCTATATATTCATAATCTCTCCACTGGTTGCTTAGTTATTCTAATACATAAGGCAGATATGAAAGTAATGTAATGACACAGTGTTTACTCTTATTATTTGCTTGTGACAGGATATTGAAATCTCAAATGGACAGGCTGAATCATCCCATTTGCAGGTGATGCAATGCCTAACCCGTATTGACTGGAGCAGCAAATGAGGTTCAGTCATTAATATTCAACTTCTCTGAGGAGGGTGATGTTTTTATGGTACCAGGTCAGAGAGGTACCATATGCCCTTTGGCTCTATTTTGTCATTATCCAACAAGCACACTGCAGAACTGGTCACTTGACTTCACATCCCTTTTGTCTGCTTCTAGATGAGTCTTTTGGCTCAATGCTCTTATTATCTAACAAGCACACTGCAGAATTGGTCACTTGACTCTACATCCCTCTGGTTTGTTTTCAGTCAAGTCTTTTCTCCAGCCACATTATTTTCATGCTTCTAGACACGCGTATAAATACCCATGCCAGTACAGAGTGACGTGTTATGAGCAGCTGCCATACTGCCTGAACAAAATGTAAAAAAGCAGAACTGTGGCTAATGAAGAGGCCGAGCAGGAGCAGCTCTGGCACCAACAATTTGAGGATGATTCAACAAGAATTTGCTGATGGAAGGCAGCAGGACATACCTAGAAGACAGACAGGCTTGTTCCTTCTCACTTCTGTCCTTTCCTCTTCAGGAAAAGAGCAGAGAAGGAAACAGACACAGAAGCACAGATGCCATAGGCAACAGCTCTCTTCCTCAGCTAATCTTTGGCTTCTTCATCACCTTTATTTCTACACAGAGGAAAGGATAATTCTGAGCAAGTAAATTCTGACATGAATGAAGATACACACCAAACAGCCATACAAACAGGCTGCACACTGGTCCATTGCATTTGAAGCTTAAGGGGCATCTTTGCTTACAAAGAAGTTGCTTCTTCCTTGCTCACTCACTGAAATGAGAAAAAGGGCTAGAAGACTAGAAAGATAAAGGAGATGGGCAGCAAAATTTGGGGTCCAGCACTAGCAACTCCTAATTTTTGTAGCAAGTCTTGTCCATGGCTAGTAGTTTAGGAGTCTTTACCAATGTCCTCCATAAGCCTCTCCTGTGCCTGTTTCATCAAAGCAGCTAAAGGAGAGAACTACTCTAAAAATTAGCCCTAAACCAAAGTAATAGCCCAGAACACATAGGTAGGAGTATTTATGTAAACAGATGGTTCCTGATCCAGGACAGCAACAGTCCCTTCAGCACAAAAGTCAGCAACACATCCCTTCTTTGGTAAGAAAGGACAATGATGCCCATGGAACATACTTGGCTATTGTTATTTATATTTTGCTTTTTTTTTAATGTATTAAAATCTGTACTTTATTATAAGTACAATCTGCATTGCTAAGGATATGCCTGTTTGATACTGTTTATCTGCTTGAACCCTGGAAATATACTTCCATTTTCTTCAGATTAAGTTTCATGCCAGCCTGTAGGTTTCAGGGTGCGGCAGAAGGAACAGCAGTGTTGGGAGCTGCTGAAGGTAGGTTCATGGCTGCAGGAGCAGAACAACTGCAACAGAATTCAGATCAGCAGCCTGAAGGACAAAGTGGTAGAGAAAGTTCAGAAGCAAAATGCAAACTAAACTCTAAAAACCAGCTACTTCAGAAAATAATCAAAGAATTTCAACTGCTAAACAGCCTACATAGTGGGCTCATCACAACAGTATTAAAGGTACCGCCTTTAATAGCACAGATGGCATCTAGTTAGAAAAATAAGAAGAAGAAAAAAAAAAGGGGAAAAAAAGGGGAAAAAAGGAAAACTTTATTTGAAGCACAGAAATTCCAACTTGGATGAAAAGAAAGATCTATTGCTCTCCGGGTTTGCCATGCAACAAGGAAAACATGGTAGCAGCTTCTTTGCAGCTGCACAGAAAGCAAATCTGGCAAGGATTCTGGGGTTTGGCCAGTTTCTCCCTGGTGGTCACTGACTACTTTCCAAGTTGTGAAGAGCCTGAAAAGTCAGTGGAAAAGATCCTTTGCCATTCCTTAAAATAAATATGTACAAGATGAGATGAAAGGGATAAGCTTTCTAACTTGCTGTTTATAAGCAGTCTTAGACCAATTAATGTGATGTCCTGAATGCAAGAAGGAGAACTAGCCACATAGGCTTAACATTATAAGACTCTTTCTTGCATGTCATGCCCAATCATGGCAATTCAATCCCCAAATTTGTAAAAATACAAGCACTGAACAGTAGGTGAAAAGTAACCTTGCCTGTGATCTCACCATTCCAGGCTGCCACTGGAACACTGCCTGCTCTGGTCCACACACTCCAGAAACACCTGGGGAAAAAGTCCACGGTGCTAGAAGAACATGGGACGCGGCAGAAAGAACTCGGTGCCCTCTGTTCCAGCTGAAGACAGAGCTCACATTTCAAATACTTATATGTGGAAACGATGTCAGAGAGCAAAATTTTTACTGCCCCTGCTAGCATAGGTGAATGCTGGATGTTAGGCAAAACAATCCTTGAAATAAGAGGTGGTTTAATTTCCTAAATGCAGGAATAATTAGCAGAGCTTTCCAGAAGAGGTGACAGACATACTACGATCTAATCCTAAAATAAGATCAATTTCCAAGTGAGATGTTTTCAGCTTATCTCTCAGGACAGTTGCACAGACTGCACATATAGGGAGATCATGCTGGAGAGCCACAATAAGCCATTTTGGCTTTGGGACCTATGAAGCTACAAAGTTTCAGTGAGGAAGAAACATTTTTGCAACCTCCAGAAGGTACCTAGCATTACAGTTTCACATGATTATTACAGTTAGATGATTTGATTTTAAGCCAGTTATCTTACTCTGATATTAGGGCACACTTTCTATCCAACACAGAGATGGCAAAATTCTCTGTCTAGGGATGGCAAAATCTCAGCTTCTCCGGGTACATCAGAACTCACAGCTGGAAACAGTCTGCCACACAGACTGCCTTATAAGAAAGGAGTCCCCCAGAAAAAAACCACCCAGGAGCCAAGAGATTTTCCACCTTTCTCCATATTATGCATGTGACTTGCCCGCTGGCATCGGCTTAACTGCTCCTACATAATAAATGCACATGCAACAGATGAGCATCAATAACATTTCAGTCTGACTCTTGGCCAGCAGCAGACAGGTTAAACTCTATAAAAGATCAGGGGTCCACCGAACTCAAGATCAAGCCTCTAGCATTTTCCCTCCTCCTCCTAACCCCTCAAAATTCCTCTTGAGATTCTGTTGTTAGCAGCTGTTGATCCCTTTCTTCTCCATACAATTTATGGCTTTGGGTGCCTCCACCGTAATCCCTTAAATCATATTCTTCTAGATACTTAACAGTCCTTTATACAAGAACTTGAACCTTTTCATTTATGTAAAAATTAACAAAAGCAACTGACAAATCGGAATTACGATCCTTTGGGGGTGTTGTCCACAATGAATGTCACAATGTCTTAGGCTAATTAGATAAGCATGATACAGATGATATTGTAATCACGTAATGCCTAAGCAACAATAATTTTCACCTCATCTCTTTCGAAGTATTCAGGATGTAGCACAGGATGATTTAGCAGATACTTCATAGAAAACCAACAGTACCAGGTTTGACAAAGACCCTCCGCCATTAGAGCCCCGATGAAACTACACTATCATGAGATAAGAAAGACTATGAACTAAGGAGTGATCAACAGATACTAAACAAAAGGTTGTAATAATTGGTCTTTCGAAAAAAAATATAAATCCCCAGTGGTACATTTTAAAGAGAAATCTAGCAAAGAAGCTCAAACACTGAGCGATGGAGTTTGCTGACAATACCTCAAGTTACTCAAGGTTGCAAAAGCAATGGCTGACGATCTGAAGAAGACTTTAATGATACTGTGCAAGTAGGCTGTAAAACAGCAGATAAGATTAAACGTAGATAATTATAGAAAGTGATGCACAACGGAAAAAAAAATCCCAAGTTTATATACACAATGACAGACTCTGAACTAGCTGTTACCACGGAATAAGAGCAATTGTGGAATTATAATAGGCAGCTCCATGAAAGTACTAGCTCAATTCCCAAAAATTGTCAAGTGAGAAAAATAGAAGAGAGTGAGACAACCAGACAACTAAAGCGGATATTAGAAGAAATAAGAGTAAGAAAAAAGAGTAAATTCACAGAAGATCACATGCTGAAAGAGACAGTCCTGATTTTTGTTCTCCAAGCCCCATTCCTTCTGATCCTTCCATCCCTATCTCCAAGCTGATCCTGAACTGTAAAATGTACCACATGGACACAGATTGTCAGAACGATAGGGTCACTTCTATCTATATCTCCTCTGAAAAATACATGAGCAAGGGGCTGGGAAATTAAATGAAGATTTACCAAATCAAAAACCCCACACAAGAATATGGATTTTTTTTCACTGCCCCTTCCAATACAAGAATTAATGAACAAGTGATGAAACAAGCAGGTAAAAAGTTCAAAAACAGCACTCTGCCACAGGATGTTATGGATGCTAAAAGCACACATAGCTGCACGTGCTGATTGGACAAATTCACATAAGAGAAAATCCACTGGGGGCACTAAAAACAAATATCACCTCCAGGTCCGGAAGCCTGTGAGCCACAAATTACTGGAGGTTGGGAGAGGTATTTCCTCAATATACACTATACACTTATGCTGTTCTTACGGTCTTCTCTAAGCATCTGCTTTTGGCAGCTGACAGGGACAGGCTAAAGGGATCTTTAGTGTGACAGAGTACAGTCAATTTTATGTACTTATTTATCCTAGTTATTAAGGTTGCCCAACACAAACTTATGCATTTCCAGTCACTTTCTCCATTTACAAAACTTCCACCACTGCAAATGCAAGAGAAGAGGGAAGAGGGGAAAGAGGTTCTCCTTTGAGCACAAGCCAAGTAGAACCTTCACAAATTTTAGCAGCTAAACATCTCAGATTCCATCACACTGGGTTCTTCCCAGCACATAAAGATCTGTTCCTACAGGTTGTATCAGGCCTTAATCAGAGCACCTGAGTCAAAACAAGTTGACAGTATTTCCCATTAAAAAGGCTTGGGTGTCTCAAATACTGGCACTTCTGAACTTGCAGCCTTTCCTATTTTGCAATCTTACTGCTGTTTTGGTGAAACTGCCCAAGTGAACTGTACAATGTTATACAGTTTACAGCGTGTTCTGTAGGCACCATCTATAAGAAACTCAGCTCCCACCTATCAGCATTATATGTCAAACTTGTGCAACAAGCATCTTGCTATTGCATTTGGTTACTCCATCAAACACTACCTTAATAGGCAGTTGAGCAAAATGGAAAGGAAAAAAAAGGCACTTTTGTGCTTAGATGTCCCCCACCACCACCACCTGAATAAGGACATTCGTGTTATTCAGGTGGTTCAGAAAGTGATAAGCATCAAGAGCAGCAGGTACCAGAGCATGGAGGAATAAAGAGGACCAGAATACCTCTTCTCTCTCATTTTATGCCAAAATAAAAGTCTCCTGTAAATTGAAGGCAGTGTCTAAGAATTCTAACAGCATTTTTCATTCTGAAAGGTCAGGGTGGGTTCTAATCATGGCAAGAACATATATATAGATAAAAGTCTCATATATATATATATATATGTGAGGCTTTTAGATTAGGCTATTCTTTGTACCTCTTATCTGCCATTAGTAGATTCCTCAATAACTCTGCAGGAAGATTCACAGCTTACTGGGCTAACAGCTTCCAAATCAAGCTTTCAATTAAATCGAGGAGGTACTTCTGTTATATACACCCAGATGTCTACAAGGAGCATCTCTGTTGCAAAATAAACTTTCTCCAGTATCTTAACAAAAACACCATTCCCCACCCTTCGCAGTTTAGACACATCAAATGATAACTTTAGGACAGCCAGCAGTGGTACAGCAAATGCAGACAAAAGATAATAGTAATTCAAAAGACAATGCACTAGAAAAGTTATCCTGGACAAAAAGCACTAATATTTACTCTTTCTAAATATCTGCAATAGTTACAAATGAAATTATGCTAGTCAGTATTCCTTACAGCACTTGTTTAAATTACTGTGCAGTCATTTACTCATCTTCATTCATCTAGTGCAGCTCTTCCAGAACAACCTAGAAAGTGATAAAAACGCTACGCAGTGTAAGTCTGAGCATCTGCAAAGCTGATGTAAACTCAAGACACCTTTTTAAAAAAAGAGATGTCAGACAACACAGTTTTTCACTTTGCTCCTAAAAGTGGCAAAAAAAAAAACAATGAATTACTATATCTTTGGAATCGTGATACTTGAGATTTACTTTCTCCTCATCTTCCAAAGGAAAAAAAAAAGTGCTAGTTGCCAAGCATCACCTACACTTTTTAATCTGCACCCCTCACTTTCTTGTAAAAACAGGGATATCAAAATACATCTAAAGCAAAGTTTAAGATCTGTTGGGTCTCCCACCCCTGCAATGCTAAGAAGTAAATGAGCCCATTCCTCCTTTAATGAGAGGTATGATAAGAGTGGACACGCTCAAGTTATGTGCTCTCATTTGTAGCAAGCCTACACATTTTCAAATAGCTGTAGAGATGCATTTGCTAATTCTTATAACAAGAAGGGGTGCATTTAAGATAGAAGAAGTATATCAGAACGAGTTACAGTTACGATTAACGTCCAGGGAGCCTCGGGAAGCAGCACAGAGCCGCCGCTCAGGG